ACCCGTCCCGGCCCGCGCGCGCCCCCGAGCGCGGGGCTGACGGGCGCCTTGTCTGTATTTCTATTTTGCAGCAGTACCATCCCACTGATAGCCCGGGCCCGCTCAACCTCTCAGATCCCTCGGTCAGCACCGTGGTGTGAGGCCCCCGGAGGCGCCCACCTGCCCAGTTAGCCCGGCCAAGGACACTGATGGTCCTGCTGCTCGGGAAGGCCCGAGGGAAGTCCACCTGCCCGAGACTGCCCACCCTGGGCCGCCCGCCCATCCATCTGCCCTGCTGCCTGGCGGGCAGCTCCTGCCCTGCTGGACCGAGGCATGGACCAGAGCGGCCGAGGACGGGCCAGAGCTGAGGTGGCTGGGCAGGGCCGCAGGGCGCTCCGGCAGAGGCAGGGCCTGGGGTCTCTGAGCAGTGGAGAGAGGGGCTGGAAGCAGAGACTGAAGCCCCATCCTCCCACGGCCCCCACAAGAGCCACAGTGGGGGCTTGTGGCCCCAGCTGGCTGGGTCACCTCCTGCTGCAGCGCCCGCGGCCCACTCCGCACAGCCTCGGCTTGACCCCCTTCCCTCTCCTTACCCTCCCCCTTCTCTGCTTGACCCCATTCTCTGAACTGGCCCTGCCCTTCCCCAACCGCAGACCCTAACTTCCCCAGCTGGCGGCCGCCTCTCCGGGGCTGGCTGCGGCTTCCTGCTGCCTCCGACCTTCTCCCACTTCGAGAGGAATGAGCCTTCTCTTCACCTCCTCCGGCATGCAGCCCAGGATGGGCTTCCCCACTCGCTGCCTCGGGACTGTCCTCAGCCCCCCCCGCCACTTTGTGCAGGCCCCGCCCTTCCCATGTCCCAGCGTGTGCCTTCCCCTGCGGCCCGTGCGCGGCCGAGCGCTGACCCTCCGCCCCAGGGCCCGGCGCGCACCGCACCGCTCCCTTGACCCGGTGTGTGCAGTGGTGATGCCTAAAAGAATGTCGTGAAAATTTCGGTCTGTGTCACTTGTTGACGCCTGTAGGGAGCGTGGAGGAGGGCAGGGGATACAGGGCAGATGCGAGGGCAGCCGCGG